GAATAGAGGGCCACCTGCACACAGAGCAAGGGAACCACTTCGGTAACGATGGTCCAAGAACAAACAACCATCTAGAGGGATGGCATCACCGCCTGCAGAGACTGGTATCCAAGGCCCATCTAGAGGGATGGCATCACCGCCTGCAGAGACTGGTATCCAAGGCCCATCTAGAGGGATGGCATCACCGCCTGCAGAGATTGGTATCCAAGGCCCATCCCCGATTTTTTTCGGTTTCTTGCCTTCCTGAAGAAGGAGCAGCTCAACAATGAGACGTTGATGTTGCAGTATGAAGCTGGAGGAAAGCGACCAACAAAGAGGAGGAGATATACTAACATCGACAACCGACTCCAGACTCTTTGTGAATAAAATGAGAGTGACAAAAACTGTTTATTATCTTATTTTATTAATAAAAGAAGAAAGATATCTTTTTTATGTGTCATATGGTGGTAATGTGAAATATGATATGGATTACAGTGTTGTTTCAAAACCCTTATTGTGTTTTCATTAGGATTACACATGGGAGCTTAAATGCATTGTGCACTAAATCCAAACTTAATTGGTTCGTTAGCAAATGTAACGCGAGAACGACATACAAGTCGAGTCAAATTGAGCTATTTTCACCCCAATGTCGCTCTGGCGTGCATAAGCCACTAAAGGGAAGTAATAACCTTGATTTCTGTTGATGGCTGGTTGGAATCTATTGATGTGGATGCCTTCTTGGAGTTTCCTGATCTTGTAGTTGATACAATTTTAGGTGAATATGTTGATGTTGTTCCAACAGATATTATGGTCTGGATGAGCTTGGATATGGTCAGCTACAACACCCCTGTCAGTCAGTCAGTTTCTCTTGTACTGAGGTTTGATGTTTCTTAATTCTTACTGGGAGAGGCCTTGATGCTTCTCCAACATATGATTTACTAGGAGAATTGACTTGGAATCCTGGGAAGGTAGGTCATAACTTGTACCAAGAATATAGTAACGGAACAGCCAAAGACTGGTCGATAATTACTTGTGGACAAATTACTACAAGCATGAAATACTCACATCCCCCGCCAATATGACATGTTGGGTTGTGTGCAATGTAAATGGCCTAATTGCAGCACTAAAAACAGTTATTACTGGTGTTGTTTTTTCATCTGCAGTTTATGATATGAAAATGTTACTGAATTTGTAATGAGTAAGGATGAGACATATGGACGAACAACTTCTTTATTACAATTAGGAGCGATGGTTTTGGTGAAGGTTCTGACACTGTTATCAAGCAAGTGATACAGAGTATGTTTGACAAGAATATATAGTGTTTATACAGTTGAATAGGTTTAAGATCAGTTACACTGTTGTATTTGTAATGAGTTGTGTTTCTGGATGAAGTTAGTCAGTGAATGCAACAACTGTGTCCATGACCCTTTTGGAGGAACATACACTCAAGCAATGCAGAACTTACCAACAAGAAAGGAAATGTATTCAATACTGTGAGATGACATTATGTGCCAAGTTTGGTGAAGAAATATAGTACGGTTTTCAAGATCTGCTCCGGAAACGAGGATTACCACCATTTTTTGTCTAAGTCAAAGTCGTTGCCATGGAAACTGGAAAAAATTATTTTTTTTAAAATCCCAAACTATCAAAAGGCACCAGTTCACCACTAGACCTATCTATGTGCCAAGTTTGGTGAAGAAATATTGTACGGTTCTCAAGATCTGCTCCGGAAACAAGGATTACTACCATTTTCAGTCTAAGTCAAAGTCGTTGCCATGGAAACTCGAAAAATAATGTTTTCAAAAATCCCAAACTATCAAAAGGCACCAGTTCACCACAAGACCTATCTATGTGCCAAGTTTGGTTAAGATATCTCCATCGTTTTTTGTGTTCTGCTCCGGAAACGAAATGTGACGGACGGACGGACGGCACCCATTCCTATAGCCCCCTTCTTCGTGGCGGGGGATAAAAATAAATGGATGCTGCCACCAGTCACAAAATGTGACAAAATAAATACCAGAGCTTGGAGATGAGGTTTAGAGAAAATATATCACAAGGATCTACAAAGTTATGAAAGTCGAAACTAGTGAAATGCAGAAGGACCACACAACAAGTAGGTTGTTCAATAACAAGTTTTGTAATTATTCAATGAACTGAAAAATCTTGTACATGTTCTCAAGATCGCGGGATACTGCTTTGAACTGTACTGGAAACATCAGTCGCTCGGTGTTGTCTGTCAGATCTTGGAACTAGAATCTGGTACTGGTCTGTATCCCTCCCACGATTGATATATCTGAACTGTTAAAACAATTAAACTGTACAATTTACAAACCCTACATTGCTTGTCAAAGTCAAAACTGACGCCTCGATCCTTGACAAGTCTATTTATAGATGACCTAAGGTCACATGATACGCAACCCTGACATAATAAAATCCAAGATGGCAACTGTTAACATGACTGACGTGACTCGAGTTGGAATTTACTGTTATACTTGATTCTGTAACTTGGAAAAACGCTGCATAAAGGTATGTCATCCTTATAACATAAAACATGATGCTGGTACCCTAGTTGAAATTAGTGTGAAGGCTGGGAGTTGCCCCACTGTCATAAAAGGCTGTAAGTGTGATCTTTGAAGTACCTGCTAACCTTGCTAGAACAGGAATTTTTGTTTACAATATCATGTTCTGATGAAGCTGAAAGCTAGGTCTGCAGCTAGGAAATCGTCTAGCCATGGACTGTACTAGCTGGAGGTGGGCAAACCTGATGACTGGTGCTGTAATCCTGGTGAATATAGCCAAGGGGCTATTGATATCCCAAATTGTAAGACCTGGAACTCGTAACATCGACCATTCATCGCAAAGCGTAGATATTTCTGTGACGATGGGTGTATCTGGATGTGAAGATAGGCATCCTGTAAATCGAGGCTGATAAGCCAGTCTCCTGTCTTCAGCGTCGACCGTAACTTCTGTGCGGATTACATCAGGAATTTTGGCGGAGGTACCAGGTATCCCTTTTTCTTCAGGATTAGGGAGACCAGAGAATAAAAGCCTTTGGTGTTGTTGGTCTCCATTAGACTCCGAATGGCTCGCTTCTTTAGTAGCTTCCTGACGGCCAAATCTGTTGCCGCCAACTTGACTCAGAGTAGATGAAACATGCGTCCGACGACTTGGGTCTTCAAGGTAGGATGTTTCTTGAAGTGCAGTTTGTACCCGTGAGCCAGAATGTCTAGAATACAGCGGTCGGGTGTAACTTGCTTCGAATTTTTCAGCGTATGACAGAGGGTCCCAGAGTTGGCATTATGTTGAAAGACAGTAGACGTAAATCACAGTCCATAGACATAACCATGTCAAAGAGTCTATAACGTCTTAGAGGGTGGCAGGGAAGTAAGAACCTGCGTTCGCCTCTGCCTCCAGATCTTCCACAGCGATTGAATCCTCATTTCTTGTAATCTGGCTGGCGAAAAGATTTCTGAGAAGATTGGCGCTTGTCGTATCCCGACTTGGTTGGAAAGAATCCTTCCAGGAGGGGACAAACTTCTTCTTATGAGGCTGTTTAGATGATGAAGCTTTGTCAGCTAGGTTAATAGTTGATGTTTTGAATCGTTCCATAGAATCTTTTCTGACTTCATCTATCTCGTGTCCCAATTTCCCGTTGAATGTCGTGGGAGCTGATATGGGTTGTGACATTATCAACCTCTTGCTTTAGTTAGACACAGCTCTGAAACAGATCTGAGATTCGAGTTGTTGACGCTGTAGCAATCTGGTCGGCAATCTTGATGAAGGTCTTCTTAGAAGTGTTGGCTTACCGCTCACATCTCTTGTACTCAGTGCAAGATGTGCCTCTGCACTTCGTACAGTGATCATGAGGATCTCCCGTGACCATGAAATGGCCACACTTTTTGCACCTGGGAGTAGAGGGAGACTCTATTCTGACCTCACAAAATCAAGCACCAGTTATACTTATGTGCATGTGATTGTCACTCCAGAAGCAGCTATTAATATCCACTTATTGTCTGTTATTATAGAATCTTAGATTAATGTGACTTACTACTATGTGCTAGATCTTACTACTATTACAATAGGTGTTGACTCCAGCACACACAGGAAAAGAGTCAGGTTCCCGCCATTACATACCTCATAGCTCAGGTGGTTACGATGCTGCATGGCGACAACTAATTGTGTGTGATTGACAGTGAAGAGGATGTCTGTTAAAAATCTGAAAATTTTAGTTTGTGACTGAAGCCAAAATACAGGATTTATGGCAGAGATTTTGGTTGATATCTATCTCTTAGTTCCAGAGAAGAAGTTGCTCAAAGCAATGTAGCTAATTACCCCTATTTGGCCCTCAGTCCTTTGGGGGGTCAGCCCATTCATCTGTACAATTTTGAATCCTCACCACCAAAGAATGCTTCCAACCAAATATGGTTGATATCTATTGCTTAGTTCCAGCGAAGAAGTCGCTCAAAGCAATATAGCAAAATTACCCCTATTTGGGCCCAGCCCCACAGCCCCTTGGGGGGTCAGCCCCTCCATTTGTACAATTTTGAATCCTCACCACCTAGGGATACGTCCAGTCAAATTTCATCAATTTCCAATTAGTGGTTCAGAAGAAGAAGTCATTTGAAAAAATTGTTGACGTACAGAGGACGGACACCACGGTATGGCATAAGCTCACCTTGGTCCTTTGGACCCGGTGAGCTAATAAGTACTTGCAGCTACCCTGTCTGGCAATCAGCATAAGGTGATAACACACAGATGGTATCTCAGAGGGCTAGCACTCCAAAACTGGCAAAAGTCGTGTGTATTACAAGCAGCCACACATATGTGCAAGCACATTGCTATAAATATGTGAAATAATTTAGAAGACAATGTTAAACCACACTTCACCACACCTTACTATAAATAGAAGTGTCGCTTGAAGCCTGATATTGCTTCTTTCAGCTACATTTCCGAAAATTCTCATTTAAAGAGGACTGCAATATTATTCTATTTTATTTGTTGTTTCTATTGGTTGAACTTACCTCGCCACCTAAAACTCTGGCAAGCAGGAAGATGACAAAAGATCCAAAGATCCATATTGTGAGAATCCATGAAACTACCTGAAACAAAGAAGACAAGGATGAATATGAAGGAATGATTGCCACTGCAATGGCACTTTAGCTCACCTGGATATGAAGTTAACATCTTAAAGTGTCAATAAAGACCAGTTTTGGGAACTGACCTATAAATGTGTGATCAATACCGGTAATCAAGATCATCAATCTATCAAAAATGGATAATGTAACAACAGTGAATGTTGACAAGCTCTTGCAACATACATTTTCCATGTAAGGTTAAGTTACCTTAGTTCTATGTAAGTACCCTTTCTTTTTAATAAATAGCAAATGGCTTCTTTATCATCATAATTGCTAGCTATCTTGAATAGCGCTGTTTGCAAATGGACGAAATTCTGCAACTTAATCACGATTTCCTGTGCTGTGTCACACATGGTTGACAAAAGCAGTGTGAACAGACATCTTGGCCTTCTTGTTGATTCGAACTGACAGCCAGAATGATGTCATCAAACAAAAACAATTCTTTCCTAAAAATGGGAATGAATTTTCAATTCATCCTGAGGTCATAATCCTGATCATGTAGATGTGTGTGTTGAAGAAATCTTGTGATGATTCTGAACTGAAAACATGGCATTTTCATCACTTGGAAATATTTTTTACCATTACAAGGGTTTTAATAATCATTGTCATCCAATGAAATTTGTGTGTTATCATGACATCATATTGATGTGTCAGATCACTTGTATAAGCTCCACCCACTCAGAGTGAGGAAGTTCTACTGCAAATGCTGCTTTAATGATAATTTATTTGTTGCAGACAAGCAGATGATCAAAAAACTTATATGGGTAAAGAGAATCCTTGTTTAGCTCATGAACTGTATACATTATCCCAGGAAAAGCCAGAGACCATTATCAATGGAACTGAAAAAGGGCAAATGACAGGCCCCTTCAGGAAGTCTAAGTACAAGAAGTTTTGGAAAATGCCAGAGGTTCTTGCCAAATAAATAACCCACTAGCTCATTTAGATAGATTAAGTGTTTTCCCATTACTTCCCAGCTTATTGCGACCACTGTACCTTCTATGCCAGAGAAACTGGCCAAAGCTGTCAAGGCAGATGCTGTCAAATGCTTATACACATAGTCTCTGACATATGAACTCTGACCCTGTCATTCAAATGCATGTAAACATTTAAAGAGAACAGTTGAAATATTTACGTGCCATTACAAGTAATAGTAATATTTTATTTAGTGGCTTGAAATTGTGCGCTTCGCACAGAATCAGAAGTGCTAGTTTACACGTAACAGTGACAGTGGTTACATTGGTTCCCCACATTGGTTTATAGCACTGCATGTTAGATCTATATATAAGGTCAAACTTCAGTCATCTATAGTGTAATTTTATCTTTAACCTTTAGCCTGCTGAATTATTTTCACACTTCTTACCCCTGCCTGCTGGATTAATTTTAGCATACGGCGCTCTAAAGAGGATGGGTGATTTCAAACAGTTGGTGCCTCATTAAACAAGGGCCAATTGAAGAAATATTTTGCACATTCCTGATAGAACACTACACAGTACTATATAAAAATATACCGATGTTTTCAATCATACCAAGGTCAAGACCAAAGCGAACACAAAATTTATAAATTTTCTTGAACTTACCTGAATTGCATTATTGAAGGTGGTTTGCGTTTCATGCTAGGAACCTTTTAATATCGTAACATTTGTGCATATTGATTTCAATAATCATATCTCTGATATCTTAATTTTAATTCAGTAAAATTTTGGGGTTTTTTATCAGCAAATAACAGCGCGATTGTAAATTATGAACCATTTCAGTAAATTTATTATCTAAACATTAAACAGAAAAATAACTTAATTTTCGAGGTCATCATGTCAGTTGCAGAAAAACGAACATTCGGGTTAATCTGACGTGTCATGTTATAAAATTTGCAGGAAACAATTAATGACTTATAAATATTCACTAATCCTAATTTCAAGCGTTTGGGTTGAATATTTACGGGGTGCAGGCTAAAACGGCACCTCAGCAAAACGTCACCGATTTCTCTGGCGAAAACGGCACCGCATTTGGCGAAAACGGCTACTATGTGTCGGGCGAAAACGGAACCTCTATGTTTAATAACAATAACATCGATTTTTGTAGTAATATATAGGGTTTTATTTACATGGTATTTGATGTATTGAGTACATCTGAAGCCGTAATGTGAATTTCCGATAGGTTTGGTACTCTCATTTCTTCAGCATCTTCTGACTGGAAACTGACATGAAAGTTACCGATCACCTCTTCAATGACGGGAGCTACGCATTTCACACAGCGGAAAGGGAAGTCAGTACGGCAAATTTCTCTATAACGGGCCATAGAAAGTCCGGTTCCACTGGTCACAGTTATCACATGATACAGCATGTTGATTTTTTTTGTCATTCTTCTCGCATGCAACACATCGAAAGGCCATTGTGAATAATTGTGATCTGACAGCACCATGTTAGGCCTCTAAAATACAGTTTCAGCTTAAATTGAGTAAAGGTACTTAAAACTTCAAAGCGTATAGTGAATAAAAGTCGGTGAGTAAATTGGAGTAGGGGGCTAATTTCTTATTTGTTTTATTTCACAATTATTTGTATTTGTAAGAGACGATGTGAGTTTAATTTCTATTATCTTTCGTCAAAGCTATTATCTTTCACCATAAGTTGAGTTGCGTATAAGCTAAGTTGGATTATAGCTGGAGCAGAGGCTAATTTCTAATGTAAACTTGTTTTAACATCTCATAATTATTGGCCTTTGCAAGTTACAATGTAAGTTTAATATCATTCATTTGACCAAGGTAAAAAAAAAAATAAGGTGCCGTTTTCGCTCGAGTCGAGGTGCTGTTTTCGCTTGAGTCGAGGTGCCGTTTTCACCAATCGGTGCCGTTTTGCTGAGGTGCCGTTTTCGCTATATACGATATATTTACGATATACAAAAATAAACAACCCGTGTCATGATGCTAGCAGACGTCCTAAAATCAAACATGGCGTGCTTCACCCGACTTCTCTGAATAACTTATTGCTATTTCAATATCAACAAAGTTTACATTGCCTTTAAAAATATGCCTTGGCGAAAGGTGATGATCCTCTCAATGGAAGGATGTTTTATTTGTCATTTTCCAATTAATATGACGAGAGAAAAACGAAAATAAAGATCTTGAATTCTGACAGCAATATTTCAGTAAGTGCAAAGGTCACCGGATGTGATGTCACAGACGGGTTGTCTCCTGATAATTTTTAGTACCAAAACAGTTACAGTAAATTTTGAAATATTTCGCCTATCACATACAGCAAAAACATAAGACAATACATAGTACAGTACAAAAATAATACAGACTACTTTGATTAATTTACACAAAGTATTTTTATTTTTTTACGCATGCAGTTTGAATCATCGTCCACGATCAGTGTTACATATAGATCTACATGTCCCATGCCACTGTGAAATAATTGCACCACTGTTCCATTCACTACCATCATTACGTAATGTGAACCTCAGCAAGGAATATCTCTACACCGCTCTTTCCTACACCGCGGGGTCAGTTTCTTGGACCCCGATGACAGCGGTATATCGAGGGATCACTGTATCAGTAATCGCCACTAATATGAAATAAAAATGTGACTTTGACGATATACTTGGCGTATTATTCGATCCTTTTGACCTTGCATGCTCCCGTGACCCGGAAACGGTAGACGATAAATCAACATGCCAAATGCAAGTTTCTCAGTATCTTTTATTTGAACTTTTGTTGATATTTAGAATCACCATTCAGTGTTACGGTGAATATAAATTGGCATGATTCATATTTCTGTGATGTACACGCTGATAAGTTTCACTATTATAAGTGTATCCCACGCAATACTTCTATGGATATCGTCAATCAGCATGATCACCCTCTACAACAGGTGCGCGAAAGTGGGCTTGACAAAACGTGTTTCAAAATAACATTCCTGCGTTGTTGAATATGATGGGATATATGTAAGCAATAAAATGCTACATACATATTTTGGGTGTTAGTTCCACATTACATTTGGGACAGTTTTCCTCTCATAATACATTCATAGATTCTAGCATGATTTTAAGAACAATTTCACGAAGCATTTCTAAATTTATTCCCAAAATATGAAGAACGCCATGATTGCGTATTGATTATAGATTTGTAATTGTTTAATTATTTACAGCTGTTTACAGGTTTAAAATTTTTTTTTATATTTTTTTATTTATTAGTTATTTTTTTCCACAATGATTGTGGGTATGGACACTTAATATTGGTCAATGCATCAGCAGAGAGTAGTATAGGTAACGATGGTTCTGGAACACTTCCACTGGAGCCAGATTTATATACCTATACCACTACTACAGATGAATTTTTTTATGTCAAAATGATGATGTGATTCAACGATCGTCATAACATTAAACTAAATTGTAATGAAAATATTCTCTATTATTTTTACTCATACGTATACCATTATTTTTAACAAAGTGATATTCAACATATTTACTAAGTTCTTCGTTCATTTTACTAGGAGACCAGACTAGAAAATCTTCTTGGTATTTGGAAAGAAACAATTGATGACCGTATTTGGTTGGTTCGACATCACTGATATAATATATACCTTGTGGTAATTCTCTCCATTTGATAATTTTGTCCCTGAGCATAAATGCTTCGATAGCTTTTTCGAGTTCTTCCTTTGTTGGTTTGTAATTCCCCATTATTATATACGTATGTAAGCATTCGTTTAAATGAATGTATGATTTTTTATGCGGTGCGATCTAATGATAGGAAGCAATCTATTTTTAATCTCCAATTTGTGCAACCACAACAAAACACAAATATATAAGATAAATGGTTTATTATATTGGCACAGAAACGGGGGCTGGCTCGGTCGCAGGCATGGAATGACTGGGTCGATGACCCTTATGTTAGAAGAGAAGGAGGAACCATGTTATAAATGGATGTCCAGGGGTCATGCCCACCTGGACTGAGGGATCTGCTGGTCCTG